CCCCAAAACCCCAAAACCCCAAAACCCCTTGTGAAGGTACAAATACTGAAAGAATAAGCTAAAATAATAATTAAAATGAATACATTCATTATTTTTACTCTTTTAGCTCTATTTGTGGTGCCTAATGCAAGAACAGAAGGAACTTATACTCTTGCTTTTGCCGAATCCGGGGTAGGAATCTACGCAATTTATATGAAAATTGCAGAGAACAGTCAGGATAACTTTACAGTGACGATGGAAGCCCAATTCCCTAAAGTAGTGATTCTGAGCATTTATAGCCGTAATTCTTTGTACTGATTCGATACAAAATCGTCAACTTATGAGCTTGGAAGTAGTGATAAATCATTATCAGGATTTTTCGTTCAATATAAATGCGGCAATCCTTGCAATACTCTTAGCGATCTTATCAATTTTGAATATTGGGCAGGCACTTACCAATACACTGGTTCAACTGGAGCTATTGATGGATCAACAGGTCCTTCTGCAGCTCTTATTACTAAAACGAGCCCAGATTCCACTGACACATCGAATCCTTGGTCACAAAAAGCAATGCATATTATTGCCACTGAAATTGACGGAGCTACTCTGTCAAGTGCATACAATCTTCCTGCTACAAATACTACAGCCTACATGAAGTGCTATTTTAGTGGGAATTTGTATGCAAATCAGAGAACCAACAGTGATATTCCATCAACTTATCCTGCTTCTCTCATTGGAGTCGAGTTGGCTTCAGGGAATATCACAAATGTAAGCGGTGATAGCAGTTGTAGCGGTGGTAACAGCATTAGCGGAAACAACAGAACTTCCTCTGCATATAAGATGATGATCCTTCCAGCTTGACTCCTTTTGACTCTAGTTCAGATCTGAGTGTAATAATTATTCATAAAAAAAATTGAGTAACTTTTTTTCATAAATTTCCTAAATCTGGTTATTTTTATCGGGGAAAACATCATCAACAGGCTTAATGCTATTTTCAATTCATTCGAGGGTTTTGAGCAACAAGACTGGTGAAATCTTGGGATGATAGTTGGGTTTTTACAACAAAATATACTTAAAAAGGATATTTCATAACTCATATGAATTTTCTTCATAATTAAATTTAATGTGATCCATTAGTTAATTTCTTGATCTAAAAATAACTTTTTAAAAGCTAAAATCTTTCAAAGTATTCGTGTTAAGCAAAAACTGGTGTAATCCAAATTTGGCTTAAAATTTATATTTGGAGATTTCAGATCTGGCTGATTTACTAAAGGGAATTTTTTCGAAAGTAAAGCTTTATCCAAAATTTTATGAAAAAGTTCATTACTCCATAATGCAAAATAAGAGATGGGGTAATCTGTTAGGTCTATACAGGGTTTCTCCTTTATGTCATTGATACTATTAGTATGCCTCAAGCAATGCAAGATATCTTAATTTATCTACATTAAGTTTTATTGCCTAGCAGAGGACAATCTCCTTGTTGATTCAGAAAGATTTAGCCGTTTCTCAAAATTTGTCTGGCATAAATTAAGTCAAGCAAGTCTAAGCATAAAAACTTCTGAAGGATATTTTTATGCACAAAACTATATCTGGGTTATTAATTTGAAGCCCGCAAAACTCTGTAAAACCTGAGTAATCCCCAGTGTTCTGAGAGAGTGATATAATGCTGTTATTGTTAATAATAGTAGTTATGGAGTGTTTCTATTTACACTTCATTGGCTGGAGTATTATTAATTTGCTTCATGCAATTCATAACCTATCCTCTCTTTTACAGGTAAATTTATTCAAGTTCCCATACGAATCTATTCTTAAGAAAAGTTATTAGCATTCTTTACAAAGAATAGGTCGTTTAGCAGAGAGAACAAGGTAATTGATAGCAATAATTAACACGATTAATGCTGCAAACAGTTTAGGCATTTTAAAATTGTCTTCTATTTTAAAGCTTCTTACTGTTTGAAGACTGACAATGATAGTGGATTTATCAAGAATTTGCATCTTGGTTGGAAAAAGGAGATTGAAAGCATTATTAATCTGTTAATTATGTAAAAATCCTGAGTTATTAAGTTGCAGATGTTTTCAAGATAAGAGTCATAATACCCACAATGGTACTTTTCAGAACTCTTTGTAAGCTCAAATTATCATAATTTACTCCCCATACTATAATGAGATATTATCTTTAATATCTTTATGAAAGAAATCCTTACCCTCTTCCCTCCCCACACTCTACCCCAAACTAAAATCCACACCTCTTCCTAACTCTCTTTCATATCACCCAAAAAACCCCAACCCCCCAAACCCCCATTACAAACACCCTATCTCCCCCTTTCTCTACTAATCCTTCCCACCTCCTCGCTTATAAAGGTTAAATCCCTAAAGTCCCTGGTCACGGTTAGCCTAACAAATTGTTAATAAATTTGAACGGTTCAGTGGAGTGGATGGGGGTTTTGGGGTTTTGGGGTTTTGGGGTTTTGGGG